GATGCAGTTCTGACAATATTCCTAGTAACCATTGTCCAGGGGGTGCGTTGTCTTCGGCGATCTGAACTTGATTCCCGATTTTATGCTACCCGCAGTCGTTCTCCATTTTGAGCGTTCCTGCATCAAAGTGTAGTACTCAGTTTATATTGTGTATTATTAGAATCCTCTTTCAATGGTTGGTCATCTATAGGTTGACCAGTGCTACGTCTAATAGTTGCACTGGGCGAACAACGTCCTGTTAAGATATTCTCGCAATTGAGCCATGCTGTTTGCGCACTTAACCGCAGCTGCGCTCTCAAATAACTCCCCAAAGTGAGGTGACCGTGGTGGGATAAAATGAAAAATGACCCCTCGTTGATTGCATGTGTCGTTGATAAACCTTGGCCCGGCTGGTCAAAAGTTTGGCTCAGCTTTCATGATGCGCCTGCGAAGTTTGTGACGTTGTCGCAGAATAAGTCGGAGCTTAGGTCACGTCTGGCAAAAAACCAAAGTGCCGATATGAAGATACTAGTTCTCAAGTCCTATACGATCTCTCTATGGCACGCCTTCATCAGGAAGCGCGCGAACACAGCGAGATACACCTTGACTAGGAGCTTCCTTAATATGTTAAAATGCATCCAAGTCTAGTCCTGCTTGTTGAATGGGGTAATTACTGCCTCGCCAATGGCTTTCTTACAGCGGTCGCATTAACTGATTGCCCAAGACAGTTCGAGGCCGAAAGCAAATAATTAAACTTCGTACCGCATTGCAAGCCAATTTTTTTAAATTGATGATCCATTAATTCTGCTGCAAGAAGGCGCATAACGATTGATCCCTGGAATGTAAATTCATTGGATGAGTACAATTATTTAGTGCATTCACGACAATATGATCTTTAGGCATTAAAATAGGGTGCTTTGTGCCAGTTGGTAGATAGGCATTTAGCAATCGCCTGCCCATAATCGAAATTCGTTCCTCTTCTTAAATTCAAGCATTGACTTTTTGTAGATTTAATAGGGTTTCTACCGTTTAATGTAATGAATTCCTCACGCCATTTTAAATTTTGCAGATTGTAAATTATATATCGAAGACTATATAATGCAGCCTTCTCATCTACAGTTAGCTTAGACTAATGATGTAGGGCTCGAACTCCCGACAGACCGCACCACTTGCTATGCCTCTACTCAGCAGCCACACCAACAATTAAGTACTTATGATAAAAAAAGGAACTAAAATAACATTACAAAAAAAAATTGCAATTACGATGCTATTAGAATGCGAAGCAGACTCGCATGAATGTGTGTGTGTACATGTATACAGAAATTCTTAAAGCTGCTGCCCCATTCAATTGCGCAGTTGTATATAACTTTGGTTTTTCTTAACCGATCTTTATGAAATTTTCTACAGTATATTTTATTGTACCATAGAATATTTGTGTATTCTGAAAAAATCAATTGCATTTAAATTGTGGTTTAAATTGGTTGGCAATAAAAAGTTGGGTTATTAACTTGATTTATAGCTCTGGGGTGGTTGCGGGGAGGTGGCGATAGGTATGAAATGAAAGATACTTGAAATATCTATAATATTCTAGAAGCAACATATCATGTTTGGTGGCTCTAGCTCTTATTATTTACCCAATTTGCTAAAAAAAACAGGATGTCGATATCGATTTTTATCGATTGCATGGAAACGGAGTAAGTTATCGATTATCGGAAACAAACTCAATCTGCGCGGGAACTAGGAGCATCTACATATAAAATTTCAAGTCTCTAGCTCTTATAGGTTCTGAGATCCTTGCGTTCATACATACGGACGGACGGACGGACGGACGGACGGACGGACAGACAGACGGACGGACATGGCTAGATCGACTCGGCTATTGATGCTGATCAAGAATATGTATACTTTATGGGGTCGGAGATGCTTCCTTCTGCCTGTTACATACATGGATTTTGGACATGGATTTTGCACAAATACCCATTTTTAATGGGTTCAGGGTATAATAAAATTAGCTGTTGTCAATGATTTAACTGAAATGGCTAGAATGGAAGTTGTCAGAAATCGAAAGTAAGTGAAACAGAAGTGGAGGAAAGAATCGGTAAAGAAAAGAGAATAATATTGTAAAAGTAAAAGAAGCTGAAGTATACATGAAAGGAGTAATGATCTTGGAATAAGAAAAGTTAGCACACTAATCAGTAAGGACTATTATAAATAAGAAACTATCTTAGTTGGCTTTTCAAAAAAAACTTGTTAAGCAAGAAAGTTTCGTACATGTTATAAATGAGTTATAAATAAGTTAAAAAAAATGGAGAGTAGTATTAAAATCTGAAATAGGCTACAGAATGTTTAGTTGATATAGTATAGAAATAGTGATATAAAACGACTGACGGTGGGGGAAATTATAATTTTATAGCCTGTCCGGTAAGCTATGCTCCTACTCGTAGCTGATTTTTAAAGTAAGGATTTTATTATAAGTAGAGAAAGTTCTATAGACGGGTTACAACCTATTAAAATCATTACATAATATACGCAATGAGTTTGACTATGCGTCTGTAGTGTACGTAGGTAGAAAAAGGGCAATAATTTACTGAGGGTCTGGAGGGATCAATGTCGCCAATAATTGCCTTATGTAGGAAGACAATATAGAGAATTGTCCTACGGTTGACTTAAGAGGAAAGATTAAGTAGAAAAAGCCAGCTGGAAAATGGTGGTAACCGAGGATTGGCGTCCCAGCTTACCCTTGTAAAGTAAAATGAAAAAATAGAAATAAATCGGTACTGATATTACACTGTGGTAATTATATTACACTGTGGAGACCAGATACATGAGCAGAACTCAAATACGGTACGCACAAGCGGGATGTACAGAACATCGGTTACGAAGACATCGTTAAAGTCCTAGAACTAACGTTTTATTAAACTACGAACACCTTTGGCCTCATAAGCATTAACGATATGGAGATTAAAGCAGTGCTGACAATCAAAAATAACCCCTAGGTCCTTAACTATTAGTACAATTTGCAAAGGATTATTGTTGATTGTTAAGCTAACACGATAAGTAAGGGTTATAAACATTAAATAATTCAAGTGAATTGACTGGCCAAGCTGCAGAAATGTAAATACTTCAGTAAAGAGTAAAGGGTCAAGTTTCAATGTAGTCTACCTCAGCAGTCGGTGTGAATAAAATCAGTTTGCAATATAGAAAGAAATGCATTGGAGACATCAGCTTTGCAGACAAGCTGCAAAATCATAGTTAATATTGTTTTTAACAATTTAGGGATAGTCGACAGTTTAGCAATGCCTCTCTAATTATACCCTGAACCCATTAAAAATGGGTATAAGGGTATATTGTATTTGTGCAAAATCCAAATGTATGTAACAGGCAGGAAGGAAGCAACTCCGACTCCATAAAGTATATATATTCTTGATCAGCATCAATAGCCGAGTCGATCTAGCCATGTCCGTCTGTCTGTCCGTCCGTTCGTGTGTATGAACGCAAGTATCTCAGAACCTATAAGAGCTAGAGACTTGAAATTTTAGATGTAATTGCTCCTAGCTCCCGCGCAGATCGAGTTTCTTTCCGATAATCGATAACTTACTCCGTTTCCATGCAATCGATAAACATCGATATCGATAACCTGTTTTTTGGGCAATTTTGGTAAATAATAAGAGCTAGAGTCAGCAAACTTGACATATAGCTTCCAAATAAAATATATATGTATGCATTTGATGTTGGAAGAAGAGGGTTCAGGGTGTCCCCTAGTCGGGAGCTCCCGACTAGAACCTCTTGTTTTTTATATTAGACTTTCCATCAAACCTGTGTACAGGAATGATATAAGATTCTTCCCAATGAAAAGTAAAAACAGAAGACGAATTTTTAATACAGTTCCACTATATTAAATAAAAATCAGACTGATTTTTAACCTGAAGCATTACTTAACTGACGCCTCCCCCACAAACACAGGGTAAGATATGTTATTAGGGAAAAACGAGGAAAAAGTTGACTGAAAAAAACCTGTACAGAGATTAACAGTAATACTCGTAGGGTTAAAAATTTATAAAAAATAAGTTTGACTTCGCTTTGGAGTATTTGGAAAAGTCAGACAAAACTACCCAGACTTACTATGTTTTTTTTTTTTTAATATTTACACTTAATATTCTTTTTGCTGAATTTAGCCATGTTTCTGATCAGAATCAAAGGAAGTGTAAGCGTAAAAATACTTTAAGACTAGTCCTGACGACAAATGAGGTTTTTGTGGCAGGATCTTGTATTGATGGGAACTGAAGGCTGACACGAAAGGCCTGGTTTTGGTTTTTATAACCTGAATTGAACATTTTTTACCGTGATTGCTAATAACATTCTGGGTAAGATTGCGCGTAAGTCTACTCTTGCGGCCAAATCTGACGGTGCTACAGAAATTTCGCTGACCTGACCAGGTTCTAGGATGAGCTCTATAGAGAATATTCCAAGGGACATCAGGACAATCGCTTTAAGAAACCGATAACGACAACAATTGTGATGAATCCAAACTGCTAGGAACAGAAAAAGTGGCGAAGGGTTTGGGAGATGTACAGGGCAATTTCAAAAATTAACACTCTAACGGCGATTTAGTGGTTGGTTGCTTAGAAAATCGAAGCTCGGGTCAAAGTTACTCGACAGCTGCTCAGACACATTGTTGAATTTCAAATATAAACTTCTCACAGAATTATAAATTCTCAAAATATCAATTTGCTTGTTGATGTATACTGATGCATTGCCGCCAGTAAGATTGATGTGTAGCAGGAAGCAGTGGCATCGTCAATCATAGGTGCCAGCCACAGGCTTTTCAACAAAATACCTGTACGAAAGCAGTGGCACTCCGTCTTGCATTGATTATCTATCTGACCAGATCATTTCAATTGCTGGCGATTGGGAACTATCGAGCATTTCTAGGAGTAAGAGGAAGAGGCAGTGCAACGGCAGGGCATACTGATTTTCTGATTTTGTCTTTGTGTCTGTACGCGGCAACTCAGCGCATGGTTCGGGATATCTTCCACTCGGGCACTCCTGAATAGGCCACTATTACAATCTTTTACGGTTATTGCAATTTGTATTGGTAAATTAATATTATCTATTACAAGAGATATAATAAATATTATTATTTAATTTTTGCAGAATTTGGAGTTTTGACCGGATTGGAATGCTCAAAATTTCGCTTGGACCCGGAATCCTTCGCGGATGAAAGCCATGTAATTAGTTCAACCACAGGATCATTGCTGATAACCAGCACAAACAAAATTTACTCAAACAGTCAATATTGCATCGAAAAAATAAAGAACTCATCATATGCTGATCGAAAGGTATTTATTTACAAACTTTTACTATTTTTTATTTATTTTAATTACAATAACTTTTTATACAACAACTCATGTTTGGTGATTTTTTTATCATCAGTGAAAATATAATGAATATATGTTTATTTTCCGTACCAATAGTTCATGGTTGGTTTTTCTACCCTGAACCCATTGAAAATGGGTAAAAAGGGTTTATTGTATTTGTGCAATATGCAAATGTTTGTGTTATCAGCATCAATAGCGAAGTCGATCTAGCAATGTCCGTCTGTCTGTCCGTCCGTCCGTCTGTTCGTATGTATGTACGCAAGGATCTTAGAACCTATAAGAGCTAGGGACTTGAAATTAAATAGATGTAGGTAATCCTAGTGCCTCTGCAGATCGAGTTTGTTTCCGATTATCGATAACTAACTCCGTTTCCAAGAAATCGATAAGATCGATATCGACATCCTGTTTATTGAACAAATTGGGTAAATAAAAAGAGCTAGAGTCACCAAACATGATATGTTTCTTCTAGAATATTATATATATATCAAGTATCTTTCATTTTATACCTATCGCCACCTCCCCGCTAACACCCCAGAGCTATAAATCAAGTTAATAACCCAACTTATTTTGCCAACCAATCTAAGCCACAATTTAAATGAAATTGACTTTTTTGGAATGCACAAGTATTGTATGGCACAATAAGATATACTTTAGAAATTTTCATAAAGATCGGTTAAGAAAAAACCAAAGTTATATGTAACTGCGCAATTGGATGGGACAGCTAGTGATAACTTCAAAAATTTCTGTATACATTTACACACACACATTCATGCGCGTCTGATTCGCAGTCTAACAGCATGGTAATTGCGACTTTTTTCTGTAATGCTATTTTAGTTCCTTTTTTAATCATAACTACCTAATTATTGGTGTGGCTGCTGAGTAGAGGCATAGCAAGTGGTGCGGTCTGTCGCGAGTTCGACCCCTACCGGGGAAAGTATTTTTGTTTTTTTTTTTGCTGGTGTTGCTGTCGACTCAGAGCTGAGGAGCTGAGTGACCCGTGCCCAGGCATCTCGGTAACACTCTACTTCTACTAGTATCTACTAAGTATCGCATAACTTTTACAATAACGGAAGGTTGAGCATGCTTTTTTCGATGATTTTCGCGATATTTAAAATTTGTAAGGAGACGAGAGTAAATTTTATAAATTTTATATATGTTTTTTTCCTATATACAGACTTGCCTGTAACTCACGACCAAGCCACACGCTAGCACCGGCAATCCAATTTCATATCGTCTGTTAGGCCGCCGATCGACACCACGCTTCTGTACGGCCTCAATTCAGAATTATTAAATGATTCTGAATCATTGACTTATTATTATGTCGTTTATAATATCAAAATAAGTCAGTATAAATACCACGTTTGATAAGCGGTTGTAGAGAGTTTTAACAGGCAGGGCCCCTTTCAGTCCGACCTGCTCTGATGCTGCACAAAGTATTAAAATTATGCACGCGGGATTCTGATTTTTCGAATGGGACAAGAAAGAAAAATCCCCCAATCATAGTTACTGGTGAAGATCCTTTTGTCTGGCAACAGTTCTAGCTCTTGATTGGGATCATCCAAACCGCCGTAATTCTCCAAAGGAATCTTATGAACGTCTCAGGTTACCCCTGAACAACTGCTGAAGGAGGAAAACTTCATTATGTCATTTGATCTGCTGCCGGCTCAGAACACTCCAGTGATCCAATCAGCTTAAGGTGGTACATGGGCTCCCCTAGGGACGATACTAAAATCTAGTGCGACAGTCGGGCTGAAGCTACGGTTTATTTTAAGGGTTAGGAAGATTCTAAGGATATCTCCCTGCCTGACTGAAATCTCTTGCGTCTGGAAGTGGGCGCTGCTTCGGCGGGGTGGCTTTTGATCCTGCCAGTGAAGCGTCTCTTAACCGGGCTAATAATTACAGCCAGCGTAGAGCTAAATGCATGGTATTGATCGATGTCTAAGTTATGGCTCTGCCTCAAGTCAGTGCTGCAACGGAGTCCACACAGGACTATGTTAGACTTGGATTTGCACTATCCTCCGGGTGCTGTCTATTGCAGTTTCCTTTACTTGTTCTGCTTTGGAAGGCGGCCTTCTCTAGGACCCCCTCTGCAAACACAAACTAAAAGAAGACTCCATATTAAGATTATCTACGTGCCAAAAAGTTAACAATTAAAGATTGCATAAGAGGAAGAGAAGATTTAGAATATACCCTATGATGCTAATCGACTCATTACAGGGAAACCGAAACGGCTCATATAAGTCAAAGTAAAGTGAACAACATTTAAAAAATAAGGGCATAAAGAAGGTTATTTTCCTAGTCAACCAATTAGAGTTGACTTCGGCTGTCATTTTATATGAATAAATATTGCAGAAAGCTTTATTTTACGACAATTAAGATTCAATAGATAAATTAAATATTGTGGTGTGGATGATTTGATAAATATAGCTCCATAAGGGCTTTGTTGACTACGGCTCATATAGAAAGTCATTACCTTTCTTATTATATTTAATAGTTTCACAACAGGACAGAATGCCATCAATGTAAGTCCTAAAATACACTTCAGAACAGAAGAACAGAAGTTTTGGATTCTGTTCTTAAATACCCTGAAATTCAATGAGGAGGATTAATTGGAAAGGTGAGAGGGCATCACTTGTGAAATTGCCTTGCGGATATTGCCTTATTTAATTCAATGAAGATGGTGTTAGTCTGCTATCATTTCTTAAAACTATCAATTAGCAAGTAAGAGGTTCTAGTCGGGAGCTCCCGACCTGAACCCTCTTCTTCCAACATCAAATGCATATATATATTCTATTTTTTGGCTAGATCGACTCGGCTATTGATGCTGATCAAGAATATATATACTTTATAGGGTCGGAGAAGCTTCCTTCTGCATTTTACATACATTTGGATTTTGCACAAATACAATATACCCTTATACCCCATTTTAATGGGTTCAGGGTATAATGAGTTTGAGGCCTGTTGGATGGTGTACAAAACATGTTCATTCCAACGTTCTTTTTTTCTATTTCCAAGACTCCGCCTCAGCGTGAACTTTCACCACATAGGCACTTGCAGTGAAATATTCTTATAATTTGGTTTTGCGTAAATGAACAATCAGTCAGTAAGTTTTACATTTTATATAAATACAAGGGCGTACAGAATATATCTCGCTCTTACACATGGCGTAGCTTTGTAAATTTCGTTCTTAATGCATATGTTTGGAAATTTAATACAAACCCGATATCTATACATGTTTGTATATACATATGTAAGTCTGCATGTGCGCACAAGAACACCTTCAAGGGGTGGGCGAATTTAAGCCAGTGCCGTGTGTTTGATTTCTATTGGAATCTTATTTATTTCAATGTTTTAAAAATTGTTCCCTTTTTGTTTTGTTTAATAAGATACAAATTAAGATTTAAATAATTGTCCTCGCGGATTATCTATATTGAACTTTATTTGGATAATGATTTCTAAAACACTAGTCCGATACGCCGTAGTGAGTGAGTTAATTTAAGCGCGAAGTCCCTGGGCCGATGTGCCTCAGTGAAAGCCGCATTAAAAACTAAATTTACAAAAGATTGATCAAAAATACCTAAGCTATTGTGTGCTTTCACAACGGCCGCTAGAATGCTTAGCTTGCGCCTCGTGCGCTGCCGTCGTGCAAGAACATCCGGCCCAGAGCTATGTCAGCATCTGCGGCTGGTGTTATGTTGCATTTTGCTGACCCCTGTTAGCTCAGTGCTATATCAGCATCTGGAGCTGGTGTCGTTGGCCTCTGTTAACTGCTCCCCTTCTAAGTTAAGGCCGCCCTCGGCCGTTCCTATCTCGGCGATCACCTTCTTAATCTCCTTGGCCGATGCCATGTTTTTGGTGAACCGACGGTAGGTGACTCCGACGCAAATTATGGTGCAACACACAGCACCCAACAAGAAGGCTATTACCACGCTGTCGACGCTTCCAATTTCGTCCTTGACTTCCTTGATGATCTCCAGGTTACGTTCATTCAGGCGATGAAGGTAGGGGAGACTCAACACGTCTCAACACGTGAACTTACTCTGGACGTTATTGCGATTCAAGTACTTAGTTTCGTTGATCAGAGCCCAATTACTGAACGTGATTAGATTCGTTCCGTGAACCCAAGTCTCATTACCGTTGTCAACGCAAACTTTAGCAGGCCGGTTATTGATGATCAGAATTCCGTCATCGACCCATGTGATCGGGTCTAAGTGACTCGGCTGCATTTGGCAGTTTGCCAAGCCACCAGCATGCAGCTCTCTGCACAAAAGCTGGTCGGTGAAAGTTGACAAAAGGTTCCTCCCGGCGTGGAAGTGCAATTCTTAAGGGCAAGCACTTGATCTCCGCACTCAGCTATAATGTTGTCGTCAATTTGTAGCACAGCATTCTCATGTGCAACTGGATACAGCATCACCTTTCTGCAAGCCATTTTAATTTTCGGGAACTTAATGATAAAGTGAAGTGCATTAACAGATTGTAATACTTTCACGGACGCAACGGACATAAGGTCAAAGGTCATAAGGTCATAAGGTCTTATGAAATATCCTATATTAAGTGTTATGTGTTAACTACTCCCCCTTCAAGTATAAGGCCGTCCTCGGCCGACCCAATCCCGGCGACGACTTCTCGTAACCGCTTCGCAGACTTTTCTTGCGTCGATGATCCGCCAAAGAGTGAGGTCAATGAATATTAATGCACAGCATATGGCTCCAATGATGAATGCCACACGATAAGCTTGATCAGTTCCGGCGTCTTTCTTGAATTGCTGTATCACCTCCAAATTACGTTCACTCAAACGCTAAAGGTAAGGGAGGCTGAGGACATCTTGGCTGGCAGTGATGTTCAGCAAGGGAGAATTAGCAATACCCGGGACTCTGGATCTCAGTGCCGTTGTCCACCTGAATCCTTGCGGACCCGTCGTTGAGGATGATGATTCCGTCATCTACATAGGTGATTATTTC